TGGCCTGGTTCTTGTGGCTCCCACCTGTAATCCTAGCTACTCAGGAGGCTGAGATCTGAGGACTGCTGTTTAAAGCCAGCTGGGGCGGCAAAGTCCATGAGACTCATCTACAATTAGCTACCAAAAAGCAGGAAGCAGAGGTGTGGCTCAGGTGATAGAGTGCTAGCCTTGAGCAAAAAAAGCTAAGGGGTTGAGTTCAAACCCCAATATTGGTGCATGTCTGTATACACACACACACACACACACACACACACACACACACACACACAATCCAACTGTGCAAGGTGTGCACAAATGCTGCAGCTGGCCAGCTCTTCTTTGCCTCTTCTCCCTTCTTTGTGTCCCCAAGTGCTTTCTTTCCAGCATTTGTCACCTAGTTTCTTTGTATCACCCACAGCAAGTACTCCGAGGCTTGGAAGTGAATGAAGTCAATCTCTCTTCTAGGATAAGGCAGCAGAAGCTCAGAGAGCAAAAGTCTTTTGTGCTGGTACTGGGGCTGAACTCATTGCCTCATACTCTCACTCCACTTCTGTAGCTCAAGACTGACCCTCTACCACTTGAGCCATATCTCCACTTCTGGCTTTTTTGCTGGATAATTAGGAATAAGAGTCCTGGGCTTTTCTGCCTGGGCTTGCTTTGAACCATGATCATCAGATCTCAGCCTCATTTGTGGCTACAATTATAGGAGTAGCTACATTTTCTTTTCCTTCTCTGAACTAGGCATCTTGTATTATTTGGGGGAGGAAATCTATTATTTATTCATATACATTCACATTTGAAGTACTATGGGAACTTTTCTTTGCATCTTAATAAATTTAAATTTAGAAGTGCCCAAGTAAAACAATATGTTCCCTGTTTTATTATTGTGGTTGTGTGGAAATTGTGTGTGTGTGTGTGGTGTGTGTGTGTGTGTGTGCATGCACACACATGTGCCTACTAGTACTAGGGTTTGAACTCAGAGCCTCATGTTCTCCTATAGCTTTTCTGCTTGAGATTGGCACTCTACAACTTGAGCCACACCTCACTTCTGACTTTTCTTTTTCTTTCTTTCTTTCTTTCTTTCTTTCTTTCTT